TATTATTTACAGGGTTGCTTATACTTCTAAGTTACTAGACATGCCCCATACTCAACTTTTCCTCATTTTGTGAATCACAGCTAAATGTCATTGCTAAGCAACGAGATGATGCAAGACGTGCCGAGTATTGCCGTAGAGTCAGTGCTTTCAATAGAAAACAGCTTTTATTTATTGACGAGTCTGCAAAAGATGACCGAACATTTCAGGTAAAATGACGTACAACAAATATACCTATACTGAAATCAAGCTGTGTACAGCTCATTTTTGTCTACTATGATGGAGTACTGATGTTATTATTGAAATGTTTTTTTTTTTCTAAATTACAGAGGAGATATGCTAGAGAACTTGTTGGAACTGGCCGCATCTCTATAAAAGGTAACTTCACAAGAGGCTCTAGATTCAGTGTTCTTGGTGCTATCAACACAAGTGGAGTAATAGCCTCTAATGTTATTCATGGGGCATACAATCGAGAGCAGTATGAGTTTGCTTTTATGCAATTTATCCTACCACATGTTGGAAACCTTGCAAACCAGGAGGAAAATTCAGTTGTCATAATGGATAACTGCAATATCCACTATTCAGACGTTGTCACAAATGCAGTGCGAAACAAAGGAGGCATCATCATGTTTCTTCAGTAAGTGTGCATCATTCAGTTATCGATCTATGCTTAGGGACCATTCATTTTTTATCGGGAATGCTGGAATTTAGAGGGGGGTCAGGAAAATATAACAAGCACAATAGGAGGGATGTCACAATGTTTTTGCAGTCAAAGACGGGGGTTTGACATACAAATACTTAAATGTTAAACATGATATGATAGCACTTAGGGGGGTCAGATTGTTTGTGATGGATGTATGTAAATTCCAGCTCCCCCCTCCCTTACGCAGTATTGTTGCTCATTAAAAAAAATGGAGTCCACAATTATTATTAATATTCAATAATCATCCTGTACATGTGTACCCACTATTTGGATATTTTCATGACTATTTTGTTATTATTTTTCCTTCAGTAAAGTTTGTGGAAAACTATGTAGGCGATGATGTTGTATTTGAGAGATTTCATTCCTTCCTTTCTTGTAGGCCCTACTCACCTGATTATAACCCAATAGAGGATTGTTTTAACTTTTGCAAGAAATGGCTTCAAAGAAATCAGGAAATTTGCTATACCTATCCAAAACGCTTAATTGAAATCACAAAATCTTGTCTGAATTGTAACTTGTCTGTAATGAAGAACTGCCCAATAATGAGTTATTAGGCCAATGGAATGAGCCTATTTGGTCACATGCATGGACGTCCTTTATAGCTGATAAAAGTCTTGAATTAGTTACAGTAAGTTGCATAGCTGTCAACCCTCCCRGATTATTCGGGAGTCTCCAGAATTTGAACCTCGTCTCCGGTCTCCCGGATAAAGGTTGAAATCTCCTGGATAATCGTAAAAATCTGGTATGTATTAAAGTAAGACGTACCCAAGATATGWCCGCTTATAATGGAAAACCTATTTTTTGAATAACGATTTTGTACTTATAAGTACGTATAATTTTCTTTGTTCAATATATCGAAATGTAGCTTTGCTTCTTGTACATGCAGCCCCCTCTTTGTACCGTTACGTCACGTACTTACATAGTTCTCCACAGGAAGCGCAAATCATGGTTTCACAAATCTCCTTAATTCAAGTCAGGGGGTTGACAGCTATGCAGTTCTAGGAAATTCCTTTTCTCAACTAGTACTGTACAACTGTTCTTTTAAGAAGAAAATGTTGATTTTGTGATCCATTATGTATATGTTGGCTCAATAATCTAAATATAATAAAATAATTAGGTAATACTTAGTAGCAGAGCTCCGTAAGTCTAAGATTATGTTATATCAGCATCCTCTGCAATATTTCAAGGAAATTCAAAGAATGAAAAATTAAATTTTTAGTAATAAAACAACCTGTAAATACATCCCGGTTTTTGGGTAAACTGTGGCAGTCGGAATGTTTCAGAAAATAAGGAGTATCGTTCAGCAAATGTCCTTTTGTTTCAGTCTCAGCTTGGTTGAATTTAGGGTTAGGCTTAACAATGGTATCAATATTGCTTGGAAAACTATAAGAATGTGAAAAGATTTTTCATGTGAACACAAAATTTTAATATTGTTGTATAGTATAGTAGTTTAAAAACTACTACTAGATTTGAATTTTAATTCAAAAATATAGTAGTTTTTAAACTACTATATTTTAAAAAATATTAAGTTAGAGACAWGATTCTATCATCAGATTCACAATTGTAAGTGAAAAAAGTAATAAAAATTTTTCATTATTATTATTAATATTGAGTTAATATGAATGTCTTTGTTAGTGTCTGTAATTATAACTGTGGGCTTGTTACTATAAATGCTTTGTTTTGTAGGCAATGTCCATTTCAAAACTTTTTTGCACTTTGATTTATCACCTTAGSTAAAGATGTAATACAGTATACAACACTGATTTAATGTGTTACAACACACTCAGAGCTGCCATCCAATCAAAACTCTACATCACAAGAGAAACAGACAAGAAGTGATATTCAGATGGAAAGGACTAAAAAACAATTTTATATTGTGCCTAAAAAAACGTGTACAATAACACTCTTAAACTAGTTTTTTGTTTATCAATAGTGTTGAACAAGTACATACAGTCAGTGTACATGTAAGATATACTGTATGGCATAAAATATGGCATGCATTTATGTTCAAACTGTCTGAGAGATGCAGTTTCTTTTATTGGATACATTAATTCATATCATGTGTATAATTTCTATAAATGAAACTTTCGAAAATAAATGATTTTTTGGGTTACATGACAAAAATACAATGCTTTGGAATTATGGGCTATTTTCAGTTTTTATATTACTCATTAAGCATTCAATATAAAATATGCTTACACAGCCAGCCCATATTATTTTCACAGCTATTTGTCAAAGAGCCATGATTCTGTAGATTATATAAAAATCTTCCTAATTTTGGGGTACATACATGCACAGTACACAAAAGTATACAAATTCTCTAACCACAAAAGTTATGGAGTATACAATGGATATTTAATGATATCCAACATCATAATTATTTTGTTTGGTGCATGTATTACACCTACTTGCAGAATGTTGTCATAGAAAATAGAACATTTGAATTTAGTATAAAGGAATACATTAAAACAAGACAAAAGACAGCGTTCAGCTTCAGTGATCTTCTTTTGTCTTTTTAATTTATTCCTTTTTACTAAATACAAATGTCCTATTTTCTATTCAACAATTTCGCAAGTAAGTGTATACATGTATTATATGATACATAAAAATTTATAGATATCATTCTTTTCACAACACAACCTTTTTATAACTAATCCAATCACTGTAATCATTAAGCATTGATCATGAATTGAGTAGAAGATATTTACATGACTTTATCAAAGTTTCATGTTTACATTTGTGTAAACTTAAATATTAATTTCTCTTAATAAACTGTACCTCTCAGTATTCATCCTAAATTTCTTGCTCATCCATGCAAAAAATATTCCAGCAAACATCAGCATACTGGCTGTGAGACTTATAGAGTTTCCAAGTATCTGGATATTTTTTTTATTTGAGAACTTCCTTGAACTTAGACTAAAAGATCAACTCTCAAAACAAAAAGATTCAATATAGAAGAGTCCATTTTTCAATGTTCATAATCAACTTACTGATTAAACAAGAATCCTGCAAACATTACAACATGGCTTGTATAATTGACATGACTGTTTAAAACTGTCATGATGTAACATCAAAACATCAGTTAAACAACTGAGAAAACAGCAACTATTATACTAAGTTTATAACTACACTAAAAAAGGTTTCAATTACTTTCTTGTTTCTTTTACAAAAAATCGACAGGTGGAAGATCATCATCACTGTCCTGGTCTGTTTCTTGATTATCATCTGCAGTATTGTTCTCAACCTCTTGGCCAAGAATTGAGGATATTCCTCTGATGATTGGTACTGTTTTATAAGGTGCACTTGTTCTGCAGAGTGTGCATACAGCACTGCTTCCCGGAGTGGCATTCCACTGCTCAACACATGGAATGCACCCAATTATTTTATAGCACTTGGAGCAGCATGCACAGGGTAACGGTGATGTGCACATACAAATGGTGCACTTCATGATTTCCTCCAGCTCCTCCTTTGGTGATTTAGTGACTGGTGTTGGAGGTGGASGTGGAGGTGGAGAGCTACATGTGGAAAAGAATTTCCTWATTTCTGCTAGCAGAGGGGAAACTCCACTTTTTCCCTTTACATCTTTCTTAGCCAGAAACTTCAACTCATTTTTGTTTATGACATGGACCTTTCTGGCACTTTTCCAAAATTGTGAACCTGGTACATAAATAAAAGCACATTTATTACTTTGAGTGAGTAATTCATTTTAGAAAAATGTTGTGATTATATAAAGAACATTGGCCTCATCAGACTCACAGGAATACCACCGAAGTCTCACAGCCAACAATACCTGAATTTATACAGGGTAATACATTACAAGCATGCAACAAGGATGATGATGATGATGATGATAATAAATATTTACAAAATTTTGATGGCGATATAACATATAGTTATGTAGTAAGAATAATGCAAACTATTTATTTAAGTAATAACACAATCTTAATA